CGTGGAGCTTGGTTCATGAACAGCCACGCCACCCAGCTCTCTTTGGTTGCAAACGTCACCTGCCAGCGCGACCAGCTTTCATCTCTCCCACAGGCTACAGGAGAAATGGGAACACTTAGGAAATGACCAGATTTCTCAAAAGCAAAACAATGCACCTGAGGATGTCTCCCTTATTTTTAGCAGCTGTGCCATATTTCCGGGTAAGCTACATAGAAAGGGAAGGAACACAGCTGGGGTCGGGGTAGTGAAGGCAGACACCATCACCTCAAACTCGTCACTCTCAGCGGAATGCCCAGGGCTCTGGGAAGCCTCCTTCCTCAGCCCTGCCTGTGTGTGTGATTCTGCTGACTCACTTCATGTCTCTGGTTTCTTACACGGACACCCCCGCACGCATCTCCTGCTGCCGTTTGCACGTGCTGTACTGAGCACAATAGAACGGCAGCGTGGAAATATTCTGCAAATGCAGTCACACTTCTCTGTATCCCAGCAGGGCCAGAGGCTGGCATGGAGATTCCCACCACTCCGAGGAGGCTCATGTGACAGCTGGACTCTGGACCCTAAAAAAATGGCTCCAGCCTGCTCAAGGCCAAGAACAGCTGGCCCATGAGCCCCCTCTGGGTAAAGGCATGTCCAGCTCAGCTGAGTCCTTCTCGGGGCCCTGTATTCCCTCCCTCCCCCGCCTCCGGGGTACACTGGCTGGAGCAGCGATCCCTGTGACTCCCCTGGACCCGTGTGCTCCCTCACAGAGGTCAACCTGGTCATTCTCTGGCTCCCCCAGCTCTGGGCTGCAGCCCCAGCGCTTCTGCACTCAGTTCAGGGACCATGCTACCACCCTCCATCAGCTTGTCCCATCCCCCCAGATTGGATGGCGATCCCTAACATCCCTCTCTAAGGGGACTTAGTTCACTTTGGTTTTCCCACCAGCTCACAAGCTTCAAAGGGCAGGACTCAACATCTCTGTATCCCAAGAGCCCAGCATATCATAGACCCTCAGTCAGTGTCTGCTGAATGAATGAATGCACGTCTGCCAATTACATCTGGGGGGGCGGGCCACAGCCAGCAGGTATGCTGATGTGATGTGTAAGGGGTGAGGGGCTGCAGGCAAGTTACAGCCCCAGCCATGGCTCCAAGGGCCAGGAGGCACTTCGAGACCTGGATGGTGCTGTGGGGCTCTGGACATGAGTTCTTATCTGCTCCAACGTTCTTTTTCTTTGGAATTAAAACCCAAGATGTGACCTAGGACATCCATTCGACCCCTAAGCTTGCAGCCTGCTTGATACCAGCTAATTTCTATAGCAACTGAGCTCTGTTTGGGGAACATATTTTCTTCTTTTCCATGATACGACTTCCATTTCTACAAATGCCGTGCAAGTAGCCAGACATGGAGGTTCATTTTTTAAATGACAACAGCAATCATTTATTGGCTGAGTGCTGTGTACCAGGAACCCACACTCTATCTAGGTGACTTGCCCAAGGTCCCCCAGCTTACATGGTTAAGGCCAGAATTTAGCTACAGGACAGAATCTATCCACTATTCCTAACAACAAAAGAAAGCTCTTTTTAGACTGGGGTGAGAGATGCGGGCAAGAGAAAACATGTCTACTTCCCAACAGGAGCATTATTCCTAGGGCTGTACTGTCCAATAGCCACGTGTGGCTCTTTACATTGAAATTAACTAAAATCAAATGGAAAATTCATGTTTTCTGAGGGCCTCCACCCCACCAGCCACAGTTAAGTGCTCCACAACCACACGTGGCTGGTGGCCACGACATTGTGGGGCACAGATATAGAACATTTCATCATCACAGAAACTTCTGGACGGTACTGGTCTAGGGCCCCCTCCCCCTCCAGAACTGGGAGACTCTGGTCTCTTTTTAACCCAAAGATCAACCTATGCTGGGATCATTCATTTCCCTCTGTCTGCTGGGATCATGTAAAAGCCTACTGTTTTCAGCCCCAAGGACTCCTCTTGCCAAAAGGTCAAGGGTATTTCTTTAGCAGACCCAAACTACTTTAAAAAAGAAAAAGTAAAAAGCTCAGCAGAGGCTCCACTTCTGCCAGGCACTCCTTGCCAAGTCCCTGCTGGTCCTCCTCTCTCCCCTGGTGCAGGGACCTCTCCCTGGAGGCTCCCTGGGGCTGGGCAGTGGGGAACCACACTCTCCCAAGAAGGCTGCCATCTGGCTGGCTGAATCGAAGCTCATGCTGCTTGCCAAGGACAAGCATTTGCCCAGTACCTAACTCATTTGTCATAACTCCCAGCCTGCTCCTAACAAAGGACACAAGGATGCTGCAGGCAGTTCCTGGAACCCCACCCCACCAAGCTCTTCCGGTGTGTTGGAAGCTTGGCCCCGGGTCCCCACTGTAGACTTGCACTTACCTGGTTGTGGATAGGCTATAAATAAGTCTTTGAAGATCCTGATTTATTTACTCATGGTTGTTTTCTGTTCCCCCACGCAAGCCTTTAATCTCAGCATGCTCTGGAACATTTTGAACTATAAAACACGAGGCCAGGTCTGACCTTGTCTTTGACTTTATGGCATGCCTCTTCCTAAATTTTCTCTGACCTAGTTTGATTATTTTTAAATGAAAGGGAATTAAAAATTAAAGCTGATGATGCCAGACCTCCCTCGGAGAGGCCTGAGCCTTGCAAAGGTGGAAGAAGTTTAGGCTAACAGGAAGTCTAGGACCTACCATCCACTTGCAAGGGGACTTGGTGAACTAGTCCCACCATCCCCACCCCCTCCCCTATATCGCTGTCCTGCCCAGTTCACAGCTCACAGTGAGATGGCAAATAAAAAAAGCCTTGTTGGGAGAGCCGGGGCTGGGGATAATTTGTTGAAGAATTAACTGTATATAGATTGTTCCAAGCTGTGTATCAAAATGAACTTCTCGAGGGCAGGGACTGTGACTGCTGTAGACTGAACTGTGTTCCCCAAATTTGTATATTGAGTTCCTGACCCCCAGTATGATGGTATCTGGAGATGGAGCCTTTGGGAGGCAACTAGGAATTAGGTTTAGACAAAGTAGCTCCAATACTTAGGCCACCTGATGCGAAGAGCCGACTCATTAGAAAAGACCCTGATGGTGGGAAAGATTGAAGGCAGAAGGGGAAAGGGACGACAGAGGATGAGATGGTTGGATGGCATCACCGACTCAATGGACATGAGTTTGAGCAAGCTCTGCGAGATGATGAAGGCCAGGGAAGCCTGGCGTGCTGCAGTCCATGTGGTCGCAAAGAGTGGGACACGACTGAGCGACTGAACAACAAAAGTCGTGAGAGTGAGGTCCGCCTGGTGAGATGAGTGTCTAAGAGGAAGGGAGAGACCAGGTCCTCCCTCTCTCTCTACTTCTCCCTCTCCCCTCTCCATCCCACCACATCAGGGCACCAAGAAAAGGCGGTTGTCTACAAGCCAGGAAGCAGGCCCTCAGCAGGAAAAGAACCTGCTGGCTCCTTCATCTTGGACCTCCAGCCTCCCAGACTGTGAGAAGCACATGTCCATCGTTGAAGCGCCCAGCCTGTGGTGGTGTTCTGCTGACCCGAGCTGACAAAGACAGTGGCTTCTTCATCACAGCGTCCCTGAGGTCTGACACAGTGCCTGGCATACTGGAGGCTTATTTAGGAAATCATGGGGCAGAGCTTGTTTAGGCTCTGCCATCCCACCATCCTGACCTGGTCAATGGGACCTGCACCTCAGTTACTCTTGGTCTGATGGACTTCGTCCTGTCCCCATTGTGACCCAGAGCACCCATTGTGAGGGGATGCGCACCCGGGGTCAGTGAACAGGTATTCATTCTCATGACTTTGGTGGCCGGGGGTGGGGGGAGGAGGCAGTGGATGGGGCGCTGCAACCAGACCTAACCCCAAATCCTACCAATACAGCCGTCTGATTGATCTGATCATCAAACACAGGACATTTGTGAATGGTAACACATTCATTGTACAGAAACTCCTGCCCAGCTAGCTGATCTCTTCAGTATCTGCCTGCCCCGCCCCTCAGGAACCTGATTCAACCTGGCTCTAACACAGACATGGTACCTCTGGGATGCTTCCTGGAGGAGGAAGGCTTGCATGAGTTGGCCTCAGGATTTGAGGAAGCGAGTTCCCCATCATTAAAGTGGGTTTTGATGAGATCCCGGCTGCCCTGAGCAGGGCAGGCTGGGGGAGGCGCTGCAGGAGAAGGGCAGGGAGACAGCAGAGCCCCTGGAGCTGGGGAGGGCCAGAGAGCCTGCCCCGGAAACCCTTGTGACCTGGCCCCCGCTGGTCCTCAGAGCTGAACTCCTGGATAGACACACCTCGTCTATTCATGAGGTCTCACACAGCGCGGTATGCCATCAAAGGCCGGGACCACGAGTCAGCAGCCCTGGCTGCACATTAACCATCCCCAGCATTGTGTTACCCAGAGAAGCTGGATCACCTCCATGTCTTTTTGTGATGCTTCTGCCAGATGAAAGGGACTAAACAAAACCTGAAAAGAGGGGTGGCCGGAAGCCAGGGTGACCGCACAGATCCCAGAGGTCACACTTGTCTGAGTTCAAGGGAGAACCCAGCGGGTCCCTGGGAGGCAGGAAGGCAGAGCTCCTCCTACAGAATCATCCTAGGGTCCCCCTCTCCCCTCCCACTTTCCAGCTACCCAACCCTGGTACCCCCATACCCACTCCCTCGGCAATTCCCTCCTCTCCCACATGGGAAGATGTGGTCCAAGACCACGGTCGGGCTGGAGGCCTGGGTTCTCTGTTAGCACTAGGGCCCCAGAAGAGTCTGCTTTTGGAAGGGTGTGAGCTGTGACCTCTGGGGGGCTAGAGGTCGAGGGGGTTATGTGAGAAGCAATCAAATTGTCTTGGAGAGGGAAAGGGGGAAGAGAATCCTTCCCTCCACCCCCAGCAAGAACTGGCCACTGGGACTGGCTGCCCCCAGCCGGGGTGGGGAACAAATGGATCCCTCCCAGCACACACGGACCCGGAGTTCAGGAGGGCGGCTTAGAAAGGACAAGGAGACCACGTGAGGCAGTCAGTCCTTCATTTCTCTCTTCTGCGACATCATCATCAATAAGGGTCCCAGGCAGCTCCCACCAAGCAGGAGCAGCACGCTGGGCACCCTCCCTCTGCAGGGCCCTCCCCAAGGAACCAAACCCCAGTGAGACCACCCTCCGAGTACCAGCCGCGACCGTCACACACACACACACCACAGTCCTAGGGTCAGGCCGCCCACGATAGCACCCAGGGCAGTGGGGCACTCGGGGTTGAGGGCCATCAAGCCATTCACGCCTTCCTAACACATGAGTGGCCATTAAGTGCTGGGCACTGGCCTCGCACTGGGGACTTGCTCGCCCCTCCCCAGCTGCAGCTTCTAGCTCCCATCTGGGTATCTCTCAGTCTGTTGAGACTCCCCCTCCCCCACCGGGATGGACCCTGGACAGCCACAGCTGACCAGTCCAGATCTGGGCCATCTCACCCAGGGCCTCCAACAGCTCCCTCATTCAGTGCCTGAGAGCTGGGGTCCCACCTCCAAGGAAGGACACATCCAGGCTCCACAGTGCAGGATGTGACATTTCTGCCTTTGACCCTTCCCCGGACTTTTCCCGATCCCCTTTTTGGGAGGCTCCTGGAATCTGTTGTCAGGTCTCAGAGCCTTGAGGAAGGCACCTTTGGAGAGGGTGTTAGCCCCTGCAGTTCTAAGCGCCATCATTCCTGGTCACTCGCCCACACGCACCAGACAAGCCTCCTCCCACCCCGCCCACCGGCCTGCGTGGGTCCAGCCGCACTAGAGCGCGTCTCCCTTGGCGCTGAGGGTGGGCGCCAGAGCCCCCAGGTGAACGCGCTGGTGCTTGAGGAGGTGCTGCTTCTGGCTGAAGCCGCGGCCGCAGGAGGCGCACAAGTAGGGCCGCTCGCCCGTGTGGTTGCGCCGGTGGCGCGTCAGGTTGGGCTTCTGGCTGAAGCGGCGGCCGCACTCGGGGCAGGGGTAGGGCCGCTCGCCCGTGTGGATGCGCTGGTGGATGGTGAGCGCCGACCACCACGAGAAGCTCTTGCCGCACTCGTTGCAGAGCGACCTGGCGGTCCCGCGCGTGCGCACGCTGGTGGATGCGGAGGCCCACCTGGTGGCGGAAGCAGCGCGCGCACTCGGGGCACGGGTGGGTGGCGGGCCGGGAGTGGGTCTTCTGGTGCTTGAGCAGGTGCTGCTTCTGGCTGAAGCGCCGGGCGCACTCGGGGCAGCAGAAAGGCCGCTCGCCCGTGTGGTGCCTCTGATGGCGCGCCAGGTTGGGCTTCTGGCTGAAGCTCTTGCCGCACTTGCCGCACGGGTACGGCTTCTCGCCCGTGTGCGTGCGCTGGTGGATCTTCAGCGACGACCACCAGCTGAACCTCTTCCCGCAGTCCGGGCACACGAAGTGACCCTCGCCGGCAGGAAGAGCCGGGCTCAGGGGGCCGGGAGCCGCCCCCGGGGCCCGGCCTGCCGGCCCCACTTCCTGCTCAGGGGGAGGGGCCCATCTTGGACCCCCTATCTTGTCCGGGCGCCCCCAGGCTCGAGGCTTCCTCGCCGCCGTCTGGTATGGTGCGGGCGCCCGACAGGGCCGGAAAATGTTCTTATCCTTCTGCGAAAGCACGGCCTGCGTCTGCAGCAGCCACTCGGGCTTCTCCTGCTTGATCTTCATCACCAGCCCATCTGCTGCCAGGGGAAACGGAGAGAGGTCAGGGAAAGTCATTCGGTGGGTGCTGTGCTCCTAGGATGGAGGCAAAGGGCGGGCGGGGGGGGCATCAGGAGGGCAGAGCAGGGCAGAAAAGGATGCAGATGGAATATAGTAAAGGGAGAAGAGGCAATGGGGCAAAGGAGAGAGCAGGGAGGGTGGGAAGGACAATACAGTCAGAGGAGTGTGCAGGAGGGCAGAGAAAAAAGAAACGGTGAGTGTTGCAGGTGCCAAGCACGTTGCTGCCCGCCTCCTCTACCCTGAGGCCCAGGAGAGGCAAAGAAGATAAAGAAGCCAATCCAGGGGAGTCTTCCGACCCCGGGAGAAAGCAGAACGTGGCCAAGTTTCAAAACATCTGGTTCTCATCCTAAGAGGATGGACGTGCTGGGCGCTTGCTGGGTGAGTGCATGCCCAGTCCCCCAGAGGTTGGGCAACCAAGCCCGGTATCACTGCCAGGCAGCTCCCGGGCAGCAGCTGTGGTGCATGATCACCTCACCTGCTTGACAGCTTCTCCTTTCTTCAACAAAACGAAGAACAAGAAAGCCAGCCAGAAAGCTCTCAGCGCCCAGAACAGGTCAAGTGTTGCCTCGTCCTTGTACTAAAGGATGCCTACACACCAGCGGCACACTCTGTCACTAACCCGCCCCTTAGACCAGACTCAGGTCTGCTGGGAACTTTGCTTCCAGGCTCCTGGACATAAGCCTTGATGGAAAAGGTCTGCTACAGACACTACATGTACAGGCTATCTGAATTCCATTTATACAGAGGTCAGAAGCTGGCAACTAAAGGATGAGTTAGAGTTAAGAGTAATGCCCCTGACAGAGGGTGCTGTGGTTGGAAGGGGGCCTGGGGCACTTCTGGGGTGGATATATTCTCCTTATGGATCTGGGTGCTGGTTACATAGGCATGCTCACTTTGAGAATTTATAGAGCCTGAGACCTGTGTACTTTTCTGTGTGTTATATTTCAATAAAAAATTTATGGCCTATAAAAATAGATGAAACAGGGACTGCCCCAGCAATCCAGTAGTTAGGACTCCATGCTTCCAAAGCAGCAGATGTGGGTTTGATCCCCAGTCAGGGAACTAAGACTCCACATGCTGTGCAGCCAAAAAAAAAAAAAGTTGAAAAAAAAAACAACTGTGAACAAAGGAAAGAAACCCTAAACAACAGGTGCCCATGTTAAAAAGACAATGATGTAAACCCAAAGGAAGTAAGAGGAGAGAATTAAAACAGATGGAAGCAGAGATTACAGGATAAAGGGAACATAAAGATATAAAAAGGATTCTGATAAATCCCAAAAACCTATGTATAGACCTATCAATTTGAAAAACCTATGTAAAATGGATGATTTTGTGAGAAAATAAATTAACAAAACTGACTCAAGAGGAGGTAGAAACCATGTCTGCATAAACATAGAAGAGACTGAAAAGAAAGCTAAAATTAGACCTAAAAAATGGGTAACAGGTCACTTAACTGTACAAACAAGTTCTACTAAAACTTCAAGGGAAGCACTATTCCCAGCTTACATAGACCATGACCATGACTAGGCAGGCAGGGGGGTGGGGGGGTGTGCTGGGGAAGCTTACATGATACATGACCCAAAACAAGGCAAGGGTTGGGTAGGAAGGAAATTATAGGTTTATCCTTCTTTGAGAGTAGAGGTAAAAAAACAAACAAGCAAAAATACTGGCAAAGCAAGTTCGGCAATGTTAAGAGAACAACCTATCATGACTTTGCTGGATCTTCCCCAGGAAAACAAAGATGACTCAACACAGTTCATGACACTGACTTTTTAAATATTAAACACCTTATACCATTTCAATAGAGGTGGAAAAGGCACACAATAAAATTCAACATCATTTCTGAGGAAAAGAAGGAGGAGAGGAAGTTAGGAGGAGGAAGGGAGGGAGGGAAAAAGAAAAAAGAAGGGAAGAAGGCTCTTAGCAAACTAGGAACATAAGGAAATTTCCTAAAATAAACAAAGGAGCTGCACTAGAAACTGTAGCAAATGTACTAACTGAAGGCAAAAGATTAGAAGCCTATTCCAGTTAGGAACAAGGAGAAAAAAGAAAGATATATATATAAATATTGGAGATTAAGAGAAAACTGTCATTTGCTGATTATTATTAACCTATAACTATCATTTACATGAGAATCCACTGAAGTTTGTATTAGAAATAAAAAGTTTCAACAAAACTACCAGCTTAAAAAACATTAAAATTCATAACTTTTTTAAATGGCAATAAAATAACTGTAAGTATACCTAATATATAAGCAAAACATAAAGAAAACTATTACTTTATTGAATGAATAAAAATGTAAATAAAAGAACAGGTACATCATATTTCTAGATAAGAAGCCCTTCACTCCAAACCAATGTTCAAATTCAGTATAATCTTAATTAAGTAAATTATAAAATTTACTGTGTAGTAAATCACCCACAAATTCTAAAAATGATCAAGGAAGAATTTGGCTTATGCAACATTAAAAGCTACAATACTATCACTGCACACCTGTTAGAATGGCTAAAATCCAAAACACCAACAACGCCAAATGCTAACAAGGATGTGAAGCAACAGGAACTCTCATTCACTGCTAGTAGGAATGCAAAATGGTACAGCCACTTTGGAAGACAGTGTTGTCAGTTTCTTACAAAACCAAATATATCCTTACAACACAATCCAGCAAGTCATTCTCCTGTATATTTACCCAAAGGAGTTGAAAACTTATGTCCACACAAAAAAACCTGCCAACAGATGTTTATAGCAGCTTTATTTGTAACAGTCAAAACCCAGAAGCATCCAAGAGATGTCCTTCAGTGGGGGGATGGATAAACAGTGGTATACCTTACAATGGGGTATTATTCAGCGATAGAAAGAAATGAGCTCTCAAGCCATGGAAAGACATGGAGGAAATGTAAATGCATATTACTAAGTGAAAGAAACCAAGCTGAAAAGGTACACTGTATGACTCCAACTATATGACATTCCAGAAAAGGCAAAACTATGAAGACAGTAAAAAGAGAGATCAGTGGTTGCCAGGGCTTGAAGGATCTGGGGGAAGGAATGAAGGAGGCAGAGCACAGAGGATTTTTAGGGCAGTGAACCGGCTCCGTATGATACTATAGTGGTGGGTATAGGACGTTAAGCGTTTGTCCACAGAATGCACAACATAAAGAGTGAACCCTAATGCAAACTATGAACTTTATGTAATAAAAATGTATTAACAAAGGTTCATCAGTTGCAGCAAATGCACCACCCAATGCAAAATGTTGATAATGGGAGAAAAGGGGGACTTCCCTGGCAGTCCAGGGGTTAGGATTTCACCTGCCAGTGCAAGGGGTGCAAGTTCAGTTCCTGGGGAGCTATGATCCCATATGCCTCATGGCCAAAACACCAAAACATCAAACAGAAGCAATACTGTAACAAATTCAATAAAGACTCGAAAGATGGTCCACATTAAAAAAAAAAATCTTAAAAAAAATATTTTTAATAGGAGAAACTGGAGAGAGGGGGCATAGGGCACTCCCTGAACTTTCTGCATTTTCTCCTATAAACATAACACTGCTCTAAAAAATGAAGTCCATTTTTAAAAAGTCTTGACAGATGCAGTTGTTATTGATATGGCTGCTCCATAGTGAGCCAGGTAAGGTGAGGCTGTGAGTGAGTGTCTCACCCACCCAAAAAAAACAAAAAACTATAAACAATTATAAATGTTGAATACACATAACCAACAGATAAATCAAGAGAACAGAAACGTTTGGTAAGTAATACACGGTAGCATTATACACAGTAGCATTCCAAGTCAACAGTGAAAGGCTGGCCTATCCATCAGTTTAGGACAAACTAATTATTTGGGGGAAATATTCAAGTTAGGTTTCTAGTTCATACAGTTTATAAAAATCAGTTCCAGATGGATTTAAGTGCTGGTTTAAAAGAAGCAAATACATGTAGAAGAATTAGGAGAATTTGTTTAGAATCCAGAGGTAATTGAAAACCTTCTTAAATAGGATGCAAAACATAAAAAATAAATTTAAAACACCTGTATGACAAAAGTCCCACATATGAGTAAAGTAGAAATGATTGTTTGGGGTGGCCTTTCCCAACAGAGCTTTCCACAAGAGTGAAAATGCTTTGTTGCATCCAAGCTGCCCAATACATGTGGCCTCTAGCCACACATGGTTCCAGAGCACTGGAAATGCAGCGAGTACAACCGAGGCCCTGAACTTCTTTTCTTTCATTTAAATTAACTTACATTTAATAACCACATGTGGCTATTGGCCACCTACTGGATAGCACATGTCTGCTGCTGCTGCTGCTGCTAAGTCCTTTCAGTCGTGTCCAACCCTGTGCGACCCCATGGACGGCAGCCCACCAGGCTCCTCCGCCCCTGGGATTCTCCAGGCAAGAACACTGGAGTGGGTTGCCATCTCCTTTAGAGAAAAGTGAAAGTGAAGTCGCTCAGTCGTGTCCCACTCTTAGCAACCCCATGGACTGCAGCCCACCAGGCTCCTCCGTCCATGGGATTTTCAAGGCAAGAATACTGGAGTGGGGTGCCATTGCCTTCTCTGAGCACATGTCTAGGAGAACACATATGCAGATATATAGTAGACCAAGGATTTAATATTAATAGACCAAGGACTATAGACCAATAGACTAATTTCCCTGATAGCTCAGTTGGTGAAGAATCCACCTGCAATGCAAGAGACCCCATTTGATTCCTGGCTTGGGAAGATCCCCAGAGAAGGGATAGGTTACCCACTCCAGAATTCTGGCCTGAAGAATTCCATAGACTGTATAGTCCATGGGGTCGCAAAGTGTTGGACACAACTGAGCAACTTTCACTTATACAAAGGACCCCTATAGATGGATGAAAAGAGGCTCACCATCACTAGTAATTAGCAAAGTGCCAAATAAGAGTGTAGCATCTCTTCACCCATCACACCAGCAAATATTGAAGAAATTGATAATATCCTGACTTTATGATACACATGGAAACTACACAGGAGGATAAGTACAACATGGATATGCTGGGGGCACAAATGAATTCAGACTCTTTGAGGATAACTTGACAGTGCTTATTAAAATTATAAATATGTTCTATCTTTCTGTCATGTTGAAAAAAAAGCTGAGCATTGAAAAATTGATGCTTTTGAACTGTGGTGTTGGAGAAGACTCTTGAGAGTCCTTGGACTGCAAGGAGATCAAACCAGTCCATCCTAAAGAAAAGCAACCCTGAATTTTCATTGGAAGGACTGATGCCGAAGCTCCAATACTTCGGCCACCTGATGCCAAGAGCTGACTCATTGGAAAAGACCCTGATGCTGGGAAAGATTGAAGGCAGGAGGAGAAGGGGATGACAGAGGATGAGATAGTTGGATGGCATCACTGACTAAATGGACGTGAGTGTGAGCAAACTCCAGGAGATGGTGAAGGACAGGGAAGCTGGCATGCTGCAGCCCATGGGGTCGCAAAGAGTCAGATACGACTGAGTGATACACTGACTGAGCAAGTGAAGGACAACAATCCTTCACCTCTTCCACCCAGTAATTTCACAATAGGTACTGATCCTAAGAAATACATGTGAGTCCAAAGAGGAATGTCCAAGTATATTCACTGAAGTGCTGTTTGTAATAAGCAAAAAAGGAGGATAACAACCAAATTACCTGTCAACAATAATCTAATACAATGTTCACTCCCTTCATAATGTGGAGAACTATACAGAGACTGAAAAGAGCTATAAATGCTAATATGAAAAGATTTCCAAAAGATTTTAAGAGAAAACAAACAATAGCAACACACACACACACACACACACAAAGCACATTGAAAATCAGTATCAGAAGTCTGCTCCAATTTATGGAAAATAAAGCCATGCTTCTCTGTGTATATTCACATGCTCAATCCAGGCCAGTTCACACCAAACCCAAGATGGTGGTCACCTGGCGGGTGATATGGACCATACATGGCAGGACTAGATGGACAGGAAAGGGGGACTTGCGCCTTGTACGTGTTATTTGAGTATTCTCATAAAAATTCAAACATTATAGTTTGTAAATCTTAACTATCTTAGGAAATAAAGAGAAAACCTTCCCTCTAATCCAGTGGCCTTTAGTTCTGAGACCAAAGAGCTCTGCACCAGTCCACAGCCTCACTGGCCCCATGAGAGCATAGAAACCAATGTGGTGACCCGGGGCGGGGGAGGGGGCGTTGGGGGAGGCAAGTGGGGGTTCCCTTACAGAAAGCACCCATAACGGGCCAACTTTCCTCCTGGCAAAATAATGCCATGGGTCCTCCCCAGGTGCTGGTTGTGAGAAATCATTTTATCAGGAGTAGTAATTTGAAAATGAAAGCGATGATTTAAATTGTATACTGGCAGCAATCAAAAATGCATGTGTAATGAGTTTCATCGATTATAAAAACATTCCCTTAGATGCACTGACTTGTTGGCCAGTGGATGTCTTTGACAGGCCCAGCTGTCCAGATGGCGGTCGGGTAGTGAATCCCAAATACAGTCAGGTCAGAGGGGCACCCCTGTGCCCAAGTGACGAGGCGCCCACGCCCCCTATGCGTGCCTGCTCAGTCGCCAAGTCATGTCCAGCTCTTTGCAACCCCGAGGACTGTAGCCCGTCAGGCTCCTCTGTTCATGGGATTTCCCAGGCAAGAATACTGGAGTGGGTTGCCACTTCCTTCTCCAGGGGATCAAACCCCCATCTCCTGTTTGGCAGGCAGATTCTTTACCACCGCACCACCAGGGAAGCCCACGAATGCCCTCAGAACCCCACAAAAACCACTGCCTTTCCCTGATTAAACCTGGCCTGACATCCATCACGCTTGGCTGATGCCTCAGAAGGCTCACCCTCCTGGCCAGATGTATAGTGCAGCCTGAAAGCCCAGAGGATACCTGCACCCACTGCTCCAGGGCCCAGCTGGGTATACGTGGCTGAATTGTGTGGGGAGGCCAGGAAGCCCGGGATGGCAGGTGTGGACCCGTGACTTCAGTCGTCCCGGGCACCTTCCCCTAGGGATCAGACACTGACACAGAGGGAAACAGGCCTCCGCCTGCCGGTTCTCAGGGTACTGCTCCTCAGTCAGCATAAAAAAGCATCATTTTTAAAACGTCTTCATGGTTCAGAAGAAACAGAAAGGAACGGAGGGCTGTTGCTTCGTGGGTACAGGGTCTGACGTTATGGGACACTTCGGGAAATGAATGGTGATGATGCTGTGCCTTTACGTGAATGTGCTTCTTGTCACTGAACTGTACCCTTCAAAGTGGGAAAAGTGGTAGATTTCATGTTATGTATGTTTCACCACAAATGTATTAAAAATACATTCAAATACAAATAAAAAAGTAAAGGGTACTTAAAAGAGGTAAAGTCTCAGTAATGTTGAAACCTTCAACTGTCCAGAAGAGTCATTCCTTCAGCCTGGCCAGCAGGCATGGTAGCCTGGAAGGCTGTGGCCTGAGGGGTCCCCAGGCCCCCAGGTTTTTCCGCCTCTTCCTGGTGGTGGAGCTGCCGTATGGACAGAGAAAGCCTGGTGGAGCCCACTGCTCGTGTCTGAACTAGGATCCCCCTTATGAGTTTATGTGGGCAAAAGGGTCCTGCAGGGACAGTTAGGGACTTTGGGGAAGGTCATGGACACACTGCTATATTTAAAATGGATGACCAGCTAAGACCTGCTGCAGCACATGGAACTCTGCTCCATGTTATGTGCCAGCCTGCATGGGAAGGAGGTTTGACATGTATCTGTATGGCTGAGTCCCTTCACTGTACCTGAACCTATCACAACGTTGTTAATTGGCTATACCCCAATGCAGAATGTTTTTGGTGTTAAAAAATTAAAATTTGGGGGGAAAACAAAGAGCCCTTCAGCTAAAACGTTTGGGACTGTCTGCCTTAGGTTTTCCTGGAACTGCCATAATGTCAGCATCACACACACACACACACACACACACACACCCCGAGTGCTCTCAGCATTCACAGTGAGAGCCTGGGAAGTGCCATAATGTCAGCATCTCACACACACACACACACACACACACACACACACACACACCCCGAGTGCTCTCAGCATTCACAGTGAGAGCCTGGGAAGTGCCATAATGTCAGCATCTCACACACACACACACACACACACACACACACACACACACACCCCGAGTGCTCTCAGCATTCACAGTGAGAGCCTGGGAAGTGGGTGGCTCTGCTCACTGCCTGGTGTCAGGACTCAGTCACAGAACAGCAGCATGTATAGAGCATACTGGCCCCCTGTGAGCCAGTGTTTTGTTTCTTATTCTGTTGCCTGATTTTTGTCTCACCTTAGGTCCACCGTAGCGATTGTCCTGGGGGCGGGGGCTGCTCTGGGGCATTCAGGGCAACTCCCCTGGAGGGAACAGGAGATAAGGAAACCAGGTCACTGTGCCCACGAGGGGCAGAGCACCCAGGTCCCGTCCCCTCTCCTGGGCTCAGAGATCCTATCGGCCCAGCCGCACCCTCTGCAGGGCCTGCTGCAGAGACTGGGAGAGCAGGTTTCGGGCCGGGGCTGCTCCATCCTGGAAGCAGGAAGCGAGCAGCTGGTGAGGGGTCTCCAGAGGGCACTTCCCACTCTCCGTGGCGCCCGCCCCCTGCCCGGGAGACACCAGGACTAACTGCTGTGTTTCCCCACCACCAGCTCTGAGTGCATCAGCTGAGACAGACCCAGGAAGCTTTCATGGACTGAAATGGAGACACTCTCTTGACAGACAGACAGCAAGGCTTGATTGTTCTAACCACGTGTCCTCTCCAGAGCACTGGCTTTCAGTACATGACCAGCAAGAACACTGTGCCCTCCCTGATCTAGCACTGATGGGTGTGTGTGTGTGTGTCAGGGGGGTGTGTGTGTGTGTGTGTGTGTGTGAGGGGTGTGTGTGTGTGTGTGTGTGTGTGAGGGGTGTGTGTGTGTGTGTGTGTGTGTCAGGGGTGTGTGTGTGTGTGTGTGTGTGTGTGTGTGTGTCCGCGCCCCAGCCTGGCAAGCAGGGGCTGGGCTTGCCCAGCTCTTAGCCCCCTATTCTGTGTTTGCTCCATCCTTTCATGTGACCCTGGTGTCCTGGTCCCACACTGTGGGTCTACTGGCCACCAGCAAGCCCCGCTCAGCTGCAGAGGGACAGGGCTGGGGAGGAGGATGCGGAGGGCTCCCACCTGCCCACCTGCTCTTACCTGTGCCGCCAACCAGGCCATTCTCCATCCCCAGAGGCCTGTCTGCATCAGCCCAGCTCCCTGCCCGGCCGTCTGTGGGTGGGATGGAAGCAGAAGAGGGTTGGCCTGAGACAAATGGACCGCACACAGGGCAGTCCCCCTTTTTTTTAAATTTTGGCCACATCACACAGCATATGGGGTCTTAATTCCCCAACCAGGGATGCAGCCCTTGACCCCTGCAGTGGAGGCGTGGAGTCTTGGCCACTGGACCAGCAGGGAAGTCCTCAGTCCCTCTCTTTCACGTCTCTCTAACTATGGCTTCTGTTGAAACGTGCAGGAATTTTCAGAGCACACAGATATACCTGCTCAGCAAGTAAAATGTGTACAATTCCCACTTTCTAAGGAAAAACCTGAGCCCCCCGATATGCGCCCACTCATAGAGGTGGCCGGACGGCAGAGCTGGGCAGGGTCCTGGGGTTTCTGACCCCCAGGCCAGAGCCTGATGCCCACACACTCAACACCTGCAGGGTGAGGCATGCAGGAGGCCACACATGAGAACCAGGAAACTCAAATAAGTCTAGAGATCCCCTCTCGTGGGCACGAGGACACCCTGGTGGGGGGGGGTGGTCAAAACTGTCCCTCCAAAATCACCAGCCCTCTGTCCTTCAAAGCTCTTGTCCATGTCCCAGTGAAAAACCCTCCCAGGGCCTCCCTGCCATCTCCCCCACCCGGCCCCGGGGTAGGGGACCATCCCAGAGGCCTGGTCCCTCGCCCACCACTCCGGGCTCATGGTAAGCATTAAGCTTGGGTCTTTGGCGCATCTCCCAACTGGCTCATCTGGTGCCTGGAACACGATCAGAACGAGGTCCTGCTGCTCTGTCGCCTCTGCCTGGGGTGCCGCCCCCTTCCCAGGTCCCTGTGTGGCCGCTGCCCCTTCCAGGGCCGAAGGTCACCTGCTCTGAGTGGTCTTCCCAGGAGATCCTGTGTACAATCACAACCCTGGCTCCACCTCCCGTTCCTCCCTGACACTTCCGCCATCCGATAGGGTATTTCCTTATCTGCTTATCCCCAACACGTCCATGCCGGGGGCTGGCACCAAACGGTGGTGTGTGGCACCAACAGGCAGCCAGCTGTGGGCACTCAGAGGTGCGGCAGCTGCCCTGTGCAGCTGTGGGCAGGCCCTCCTGAGGACATGGATCTCATTTCCTGCACCAGTACCCCTCTTGGCCCCCCTGCACTCCCAATGGGCCCCAGCCTCTGCCCCACACACCTGGGCCTGGCCACCACTCAGGCACAGGGGCCCCAGACCCCCCTTGCTCTGCACCTCGGGCCCCGGATAGCCTCCCCGCTTCTCTCTCCCAAGTCCTCTCCCCTTCCAGCAGCTACTCCAGGGCAGGGACCCAGGCTGGGAATCTGAGTGGGGGGGTCAGGGGTGTCAGGGAAACACAAATCTGATAGAAAAGTCTCTCCCTGCTGAGAAAAGGGAAAGAGACTCCCTCCCCTTTCTTGCATTTTCTTTAGAAAAAACTTTTAACTGAAAGCCCTCTCTCTGCCCCTTCTAGGTATATGTAAATCTTTTGAAAAGTTCACGAAGTGTCTTGCCAGGACCCTTTCTCAAGGACCTGGGAGCCATCTCTTTGAAGCGCAAACATCAAGGGAACAGCAGCCAGTGTCCCCTCCCTTGGGAGGTGGGAGCCTCACTCAGCAGCTCCAAGATGCAAGCCTCCTCCCATCGTCACGGAGATCCAAGAAGTGTGTGCTTCCTTTGCATGAAGGCAGTTAGCTCTCCTGGGTGGTCGCCAATTCCAGGTGAATGTAGGGCGAACTCTGTGTGATGAATGGTGCTATCAGGTCCCTTCACCCACAACCGGTTACACTTTCCCTCAAGAACCTGTATGTAGTGGGGTCGCAACTGCTGGGCTATGACATTTCTGTCTTTGCCGTCTCTTAGTGCATCGCCCGTAACATGCATCTTGCTGGATTAATGCTTATCCACTAACAAAACTGTTTTCTTTCCCATCTATCTTGGTGCAGAGCTTTCCAGGGTAAGGAGGAGATTTTGTTTTTAACTCTATTTCCCTGACACGGGTCTGTTACATATTCCAGCTGTGGGTTCTCAGGGATGCTGAAACCTGCCTGAGGTACAGAAGAAAGAGGGCCACAAAGGAGGGCAAGAGAAAGACCCCCTCAGGGCCCCTGATGGATGCTGGTGCGCCTGCCTTAGCACCACCTCTTCCCTCCAGGTTACTCTACATCCCACACTGTGGGCAGCCTCTCATCAACCGGAGAGTCAATGTCTGCCCAAGGAGATTCAGGGAGCTGGTGACAGGGACTCTCAGATGGAGGATGGAGGCTCGGGCCACAATTCAGGACAAGGACAGCAGGTGGGTCTTGGCTTCATTTATGAAACTCCTACCCAACACAACTGAGGTCTCTCCAGCCAAATCAAATCTATCCTGGTTGATCCGTTCTGTCTTAGGAGATATCCAGGAACTCAAAATCATCTCAGATGGCAGAAGGGCTTCGATTCTTGGTGACCAGTCCAAGGAGTGTCACCAAACTGCTCATGGTCCAACAAAGACCAGAAGTGGAAATGGAAGGAAGGGACCCTCATGGGCCGAGGTGAAGAAGGGAGAGAGGAGAGGGCAGGGCCCAGGGGACAGGCGCAGGGCCAGGGGCTGTGTCTCGGGGGCCCGCCTCCACCTGCGTGCTCAGGGCGGATGTGTCTGGAACCCAGGCCGACAGGAGTCCTGCAGGCAAACCCTTGAGACGGCCAGACCTCAGAAGGGCCCAGTGTGTAGCGGTGTCTTTCCAGGACGGCCAGGCCATGGCACACCCTGCCCGGCCACATGGCACTGCCCGCCCCTTCTCACCCACGAGACACATTGCTCAGCTGGCTGGAGGGAGACACGCCCAGGGAGCCGGCGAGCAGAACACCCCGGCCATGGGGAGACTGGTCCCCATCCACCAGCGCCCCAACTCTGGCCTCTGATGACCTCTCCCCTCCCTGCCTGGCAGCTCTCATGGAGGCCGGGACACCCACCAGGGCCAGGTCTCGGTACAGGGCCCTGTCACCTCCCCCTTCCCAGTCTCGGCTCCGGGTCAGGCCCCTGTGGGGATGAGAGCCCCAGGATGGGAAGGCCTCTTGGGCAGCTGCCATGACAACCGCCAGGCCACACGAATCGGGACTGTGGTCCACAGCAGGGGCTGCAATCAGGGGGGGGCAGGGGAGGGAACAGAGGAGCTTTGGGCTCAGCAGGAATTTGAGCAAGGGGAGGTACACAGCGGCCAGGGGGTGGACAAAGCCCATGTGCCAGAACGGTCAATGCAGGGACACGTCCAGGCCACCCCGCCACATCCTCCTGATCTCAGGGCCCTGGGTCTTTCCCACCAGCCCAGGACAGCTCTCTTCACAGACTCAGGCCCCAGGTGGGGAAGAAGCAGACGCCACCTCGTGTGGCCTTTGTCACCAGTGGAGCAGGACTGGCCACGTGCCCTCCACCGGGAACTGAGGCTTCCGGGGTGGCACCGCCCAAACTCCGGCCAAAGCCCAGCTCCCAGGCTGGCTCCCCTCAGGGCCACACCCAGGTCCTCGTCCTTGCCCACTGCTCACTTCTGCTCAGAGCCCCTCCCCATGGGAAACTGTGGACAGAGGGCGGTCTTCTCAAGGTACCCTCCCCATCAAGCCGACTGCTCCTCTGCCCTCATACCAGCAGTCAAGACCCGCAGGGAGAAGCGCAGGCCAGCATTGAGCTGGGGATGGGCCAGCCAGCCTCCACCCCGACAGTGCGCTCTCAGAGTCCTCCCGGGACACACAGACCCTGTCTGTCCTTCCCTCACTCACTGAGGGGGCGCGGGGGCTTCCCCGGACACCTCAGTACTGAGCTGGCTCTGGGAAGAAGAGGGGCTGGCCAGCCAAGCGACTCAGTAGGGACCGGGAGACGGACTGTGTACCAAGCACTCAACAAGCATCACCCCCTTCATTCTAAGGAAACACGGCTCCGGCTCCAAGACGTTAAGCGATTTGCTCAAGGTCACACAGCTAGGAAGGGCTGCAGCCAGAACCGAACAAGCTGGGATGGGCCAGGTGGGTGGGGGCCCACCCAGTCAGAGCGCCTTCTCCTGGACCACGCTGCCTCTAAGAGAAGGTGAGGGATGCACCAAACCTTAAGCTGCCAGGACCTCATTTTCAGGCGTTTGCCCTCTGTACTCACATGTGGTTATTTAAGTGTCTATAAGTTAAGTTAAAAACTCAGTTTCTCAATCATGCTGGCCACGTTTCAAGTGCTCAACGCCCACATGTGGCTAGAGCTACCATAACGTCCAACGGAAGAGAAGATTTCCAAGTTCACAAAGTTCTGCTCGAGATATAAAGCTCCAGGGAGTGGGGGTGGGGGTGGTCCCCACCTGCCTGGGCCCAAGAAGGAGAAGGTGCTCGGTTTATACTGAATGAATGCATGAAATGGGAGGACTGATGAGGGGGGTCTTCTGACCCCAGGGCTTCATCACAAACGACAGACACCTCAGGACGAGCTAATGAATGTCCTCTGCCTGGGAAACGGAGTTCAGTTCATCCCAATGGATGTTTTATTTAAAGTTTACAGTCACAGGTGGTTGCCAAGGGGGAGGGTATCGGGGGAGGGATGGATTGGGAGTTTGGGATTAGTAGAGGCAAACTATTATATAGAGGATGAGCAAAAAACAGGGTCCTCCTATAGAGCACAGGAAACTACATCCAATAACCTGTGATAAACCACAGTGGGAAATAGTAAAAGAAAGGATGTATATATATGCATGCATATATATATATATTCTTCATTTTATATATATGTATCACTGAATCACTTTGCTGTCCAAGAGAAATTACATCATCGTGAGTCAACTATACTTCAACTAAAAAGATATTGATAAAATACAATCATAGGCATAAGAGAAGAAACTGACCTGAACACTCAGTGCACACAAAGACATCCAGATATAATCTTATCTCACATCCAACATGGCTGAGCACACACGAGTTTAAAGATGCAGAAATGCAGAGATACTCACACATACAAGAATGCTTACAAAACTGCACATGCAAAGTACAGAGAAACTGAAATACGAAGAAACCCATGGACAGCCCTACAGATCCACAGAGATACAAGTGAGCCACCGTGAACCGCATGAGCACAAGTCACTATCCTTTCACTGTTGGAGAAAAGAGCAACGTGACTCCCTGCTGACACAGTGTCCTCAGGAGCTCCGACCAGCCCTCCAGGTCCACTGCTCCAAGGAATGGAACTGGGGGGGCCCCGAGGCCACAGGGAGCTGGAAAGCGATGGTGGGGATAGGGAAGAGTCACCTGCTGGGTTGCCTGTGGGGTGAGCTGAGGGCAGGGGCGGTGTGAGTCAGCATGGAGAGAAGCTGGAAGGGCTCAGAAAGCTCTAGAAAGAAGATGAGGCTGTGCCCAGCAGGCCAGGGCAGCCCGAGACCCAAGGCCAGGCTGGAGGGGTCAGGCTAGGAGGCGACAGCAGACTGCTGCCCCCTCCCGTGGGAAGCTGAGCCTCCAAATCTGCCCCTTGCAGTCCACTCCCAGCGCTGCCCCCTACTCAGGCCCATGTACACCCGCACCCAGAATCAGGGGCCCTGAGTTCGAGCCCCGCTGCCCTGGGCAAATGACTGCTCCTCTCCGCCTGGGTTCCCAGTGGTGAAGGTGATGGAAAACGCCTACTGTGGGGGTTTGCTGCCAACATCAGGTGTGGAAACACTCGACTTCCTAAAAGTCTATAAATCGTCTTTTCTCTCCCATCACCAGGACCTGAGAACAACCCACACCTGAAGGTTCTGAGCCCTCCCCCCAGAAACCCTCATTGCCGGCTCACTCTAAACTGGACCTCTTCATGCGGCTTCAGAGTCTCCAGAGGCCCCTGGAGCCCACATGGGAACTCCACACTCTGCTCAGCAACAGGAGCTGGACTCCCAGGGGAGCAGAGAGCAGACAGCTCTCAGGGGCAAGGCTGCTCACAGAGCCAGGCTCCACAGGGCAGCTCCAGGTACCACCTCGCCCAGGAGATGGATGCTGAGCCAGGAGGATGGTCTCCTCCGGGCTGAGTGGGGCCGGGCCTGAGTGCCAGGCAGGGGGCTGGACTAAAGAGCCTTGGACGCTCTGCCGGCCCAGCTCAGGCGAGCCCGGGGGCCTCACACCCCAACAGTACTGGGAGGAAAGGGGCTCGTCCAGCCTTTGTCTCCCAGGAGACAGCCCCCAGGCCCTTTTCCAAAGCCGATCCCAGGCAGGCCACACATGCGGGAGGCCTGGTCTCTGGCTGGCCCCTGGATAATCAGCACCCTTTCTGAACTCCCATCCCTGCATCCACCAGACCTCACACCTCCCTCTCCTCCAGAGTTTATGACCGAGGAGGACACACAGATCGATCCCCAACAAGTGGCTTTTAAATGATATCAAAAAGGCAGGGTAACTGCTGTTCCCACTTTCTAGGGCCCCGTACTGAGGACAGACAGGCAGACCTGGTGAGCATCACCTCCGCCCCCACCTGCAGGCCTGCCTCCAACCCACGTGCCAGCATCAGGCACGCCCAGCATCTTTCTACAAGTCCCACAGCACCTCCCAAGCCCTTCCAGGGCCCCCACCCCCATCTTCCTGTCTCATCGTCTTCCCTGCTCCTCCCTCGTTCCTGGGATCTATTCACCACTGGATCAGGTGTCCCCCTGCATGCCTACTATTAGGGCCTCTAGGTGCCCTCTCTTCCCCTCCTCCTACACCAGCATCTTCAGGCCTCGGGTTCCCAAACACCGTGGTCCTCAGTCCCAGGAGAGGGGACAGAGGCGGGCAGCAAGGGGGTGGGGCAGGCCGGCATCCCACAGAGAGACCAGGCGGTAGGAAGGAGGAGGAGCCCTGGACCGGGAGGCCTGGGACCTGGGGACCGGGCTTACTTCGGGTTAGCCAGGTGGCCCTGGACCAGCCAGTCTCCTTCCCTGGGCCCCAGTGTCTCCATCTGCAAAGGGAAATCACACTTGGTCCTCTGTGTAGAATTGTTACGCCAAGCAGTGCGGGCAAACGTTGCGAAAGGACTCTGGGAAAGGTTCATGAGGTGCAAGAGGAGTTCTTTTTAGGTCGCTCAATGGCCGTCACCCCCTCCCTGCTTCTCAACTGGACCGCAGAACGGTACCTCATGGCTGCCCTGACAGGAATAGCCCAATTTAGGGACTTCAGTCTCAACACTCCCTGGGAACCAGGTCTACGGCCGGCCAGGGCAGCTGCCCTATCCCATCATGCCCGCCCACCTCCCAGAGGTCCTGGGTTCAACCCCCACACCAGTCCCCAAGGGACCGCCTTCCGGGACTCCTGCCCCACCCGCCCTGCCCAACTTGCACACCTTTGCTGGGACCGTCCCATGTCCCGCCTCCCTGCCCCAGGCCTGACCCCGCCCATGGCATCCACATCGCCAGTCGTTGCTCACCCATCTCCCTTCAGAAGACAGAGTAGCACCCATATTCTTCTGCCCCCAGTCCAAGACTCAAGAGCCTGCCAGGGTTTGGAGACCCCAGTTACCTGACCGAAGGCAAGGGATGAAACCAGCTGCTAACAACACTTTGAACAGTTATCACATTTTAATTCATAAACGCTTTTCCATCCCTCGCTATATTCACAGGAGCTTGGCAAGGATAAGGAGTGTTTCCCCCTTTTTGGATGAGTTAGAGCTCAGGTCTTCTGCACAGCTTGTCTGCTACTTCCCTGCAGGCCACCCCCATCCTAGGAAACCTGAGATTCCACAGCTTACCCCTCACCAAGGGGGTAAGCTTGCACCAAGGGGTGCACGGACCAGCTCTACACTTTGCCCTGGGCATCCCTTGCCCCTCCAGGGGGGAACTCTCCAGGCCTCTCAAAACTCTCACCACCTTTCACTACTGCAGAGGGCAGCCCTCAGAGTCCACAGGCCACTAAATCGTATTAGTGCTATTTTAACACCTCCAACACCTGCCACAGCTACAAGCTTCACCTCACCTGGAAGCAGCACCCATATTACCACTCACCTTGCTCTCCAATCCATCTGCCACCCAGACTCAGAGCAATTTTCCTAAAATTACAATTTAAACATGATATTGCTTTGCTTAAAAACTTCAGCGGGTCCCCAATACTTTCAGGTTCTTCTACAAATTTCATGGCAAGACCATTTAAAATCTGGCCTCTGAGCACCCTCACTGCACCACCAACCTACCCCACTGTCCCCAAATTCAGCTCCCTGACCTTGCTGTGTCTGCAACACCTGTGATCAGTCTTGGAATAGCCCTGCCTAACTCTTCTCTGCCCAGACCAAACCAGGGATTACTTTCACCAGGAAGCCCATATGGATTCACCAGGCTCAGAGTGAGGACCTTCTCTATTTAACCTGTGCACCCACTCAACCCAGTACCATCCACATGGTGTAATAATATAATTTGCCTCAACAGCATGACTGTAAACATCTTAACACAGGGAGCCTTTCTCTCCCCAACACCCAGCACAAGGTCCAGCATGCTGTAAACCATTAATAAAAATGTTAATAAAGGAATATTTAAATAAAAGAAACAAGTTAGAAGCACAGAACCAGGGAACCTTAGAGCTGAAAGGAGACTCTAACCTCTAACCTCTTCATTTTACAGATGAACCCTGGGACCCAAAATGGACACCTAACAGTGGAGTCTGGCCATCACGGGCCTTGCCTCGGGGCTTTGGCCACACCCCATCCCAGGTCGGGAGGACCAAGCACGCACCAGGCTCCATCCTCCCAAAGGGCTGGAGAGAACGGCATCTCCATATACTCCACCTTCAGGAGGGAAGAAACCCCCAGCGCCGACCCTCACCCCCACTAAGATCTTGGCTTCCTGTGCCCGTCTTCCTGGAATGGAGGTTTCGGGGAGACCCCTACACACACACACACCCCCCCTTCACACACACACAGACCCCTTCGATTTCCGTGGTGCTTCCCTCTCATTGTTCTCGTCCCCAAGCTCAGGCCCATTCATTTAATCATTTATTAAGCACCTACTATGTGTCACTCTGCCGCGAGCACTGGGGTTCCCGCCCCTGCAGGAACTCGGTCTCTGGGGGAGGCTGGCATCACTCCCAAACCTCGGGACCGGCTCTGGCAGAGCGCGCCCAGAGGCGGGCGGGGGAGGCCGAGGGGCAGTCCTCCCCACCCCAAGCTCACCTCCCCGCCTCTCCAGATCTCACGCCCCCGCTTCCAGCTCTGCCCCGGCCTGCAGCCCCTCCCCACGCACGACCCGAGCCCCTTTTTCCCGGGGAGCTGTGCGAGGGTGGGGAAAGTTCGGGACTGAGAGCGCGAGGGGCGGGGGGCTCGGGGGACCCCGGAGGCCGCCCCCAGCCCGAGGCTGGGTGGAAACGGCGCGGGAGGAGCCGGGCGCTGGTCCGCGACACGGCGCGTCCCTCCGCACGCCCCTCCCCGCCCGGATTCAGAGGGACTCGGAGGGAGGGGACGGAAATAAATACCTTTGACTTTGTGGCTAAGGTTAACGGGAACTGCCACCCCGGGGCGACTAGGGCACGGCGTTCCCCGAGCCCCTCCAGTCCTGGGGCGGGCGGGGCGGGCCCGCGCCCCTCATTGGCTGGTGAGCCCGGCCGTCCCCGGGGCCGCCCCGCCGTCTAATTGGCTGAGCCTCTCAGATGACCAGTTTAGCCCTATCGGAGCAGCCCGCGGGGCGGTCCCTTTGTTCTCCAGAGCCAATGGCTGGGGCGGGCCGGCTGACCCCGCTTCCAGTGAAACCTGCACCGGCCCAGCCTGACTTTAAAGCGCTTGCCGCCAGGCGGGCGCAGGGCTCTGGTCTCCCAATGGGAAAGGGGGGATGGGGCGACGCCGGGTGACTGGTGACCTGACGGTGCCGCAGCACCCGCTCCTCCCATCCGCCGAGCTCTCCCCTCCCGGTACTTGCCCCGCAGACGCGCTCTCTGAAACCAATCCAGTCGCTGGGCCACTCGGCCCGACGCCAGCTGCGTGCCGCACCGCCCTAGGTGCCGGGATCTGGAGGAAAAAAAAAAAAAGACACACGGAGCCCGCTCCGACGCTCACACTCGAGTGTGCATGTATCATGGTGGTGGCACTTTGCACGACAGCACACCAGGTGTTAGAGATGTTCGCGTCTCGAGTGACCCGAGAGATATCGCCCTCCGCACACGCGCGGCCCTAGGCACGTCGTAGGCGCGTGGTAAATGACCCCGGGGTTTCCAGGAGATACTTAGACATCATTAAATCCAACCCCTCGCCCTGCAGTTGAGGAAACAGTGACTTAACGTTCCTGGGTGGAGTGCGACTGCTGATTTAGAGGCAGGGTTCAGATGGCCAAGCACGGTCTTAGTCCTTCAGAAGAGAGGATTTTCTCATCTACCCACCCTGATCGGAAGGAAATGTTCCTTTTTTATAAAGTCAATAAAATTCCTCACTGCCAGCTCAAAGCGGGCTGGCCAGCTAGGGCAACTCCCACGGGCACACTCTCTCCGGAACTGCTTAGAAACCGCCTTTGGGACATGAGGTTGATAGGAGAAAAGCCGGCCTCACTCTGAGACTTCCTACAAACCTTACTGTTAAACCGTTGGATCTTACTCTAATCAGTCAGCAACTGTCTACTAAGCGTTTGCCTGCAGGCTCAGCTGTTTTTAGCCTCATATCACAAAAGGAACCCAGAGCCCAAGATTCTACGTTTTGCCCCAGTCTTCGTGTGCAGTTTTGTTCTGTTTTGTTTTCTTTTTAACAAAAGATACTTTCTGTCCCTGGACTTTGACTTATTCATCTGTAAGAGTTAATAATTTCCTAGTTACAGTCAGCTTTACACATCTGCGGATTCCACATCCATGAATTCAACCAACAGCCCAATGAAAATATGCAGGCGGAAATTTTAAAAAGTTCCAAAAAAAGCAAAATTTGCATTTTCCCGGGCGCAGGCAACTGTATATAGCATTTACATTAAGTATTATAAGTAATCTAGAGATAATTTAAAGTATACAAGAGGACATGAGTGCATAAGGTTATATGCAAATGCAATGCCATTTAAAGAAGGGACTCCTGCATCCAAAGATTTTGCTATCCAGGGGAGTCCTGGAAATAATCCCCTGAGGATCCTGAGAGACCCTGGGCTTTTGCAGGACCCTTATTGGTTCTACTGTCTACAGAAGTATTTGTAAAGTGTAAAACCCTACCCAGTGACCAGACATCCCTAGGTTCAGTTCAGTTCAGTCGCTCAGTCATGTCCAACTCTGCGACCCCATAGACTGCAGCACGCCAGGCCTCCCTATCCATCACTAGGTTATCAACCCTTTGAAGAGTCTCCATCATCTTATTTTCTAGAGTGCCTAGGGGAAAGTTCAACCAAGACTTACGGAATTCCTGTGTTTCGGTTCCGCTCTGCCACTGGCTGTGTGTGGGAAAGTCATCTCCACTCTCTGGCCTGCTCCCTCTTTCAACAGAGTGAAAGACTTCCTCCAGATGGACATTTCATGACCAAGGCTGCTTCAAGGGTGGAAAACAACAAAGCACATCTGGGATCCTATTTTCCCTGAAGGAAAACAAGAGGGAGGCTGCACATGTGTGTTTGTGAAGGCACAGGGAAAATGTCAGGAAAGCCACCCCTGCACTCTTTACTGGATGCAGAGAGAAAAGCCACGGGGTGAGGGGTGGGGGGGGCGGTTTGGGGGGAGAGGAGTGCTGGAGTGGGGGAAAGTAAAGGATAATTTTCACCTTAAAAAATAAACCTAAGTATCTCTTCATTGTTAAATTTGATAATTTAATACTTTGTAATTGTAGAAGGAGGGGGGAAAAAAACCTGGACTCTTTAGAAGGGGAGGTCCTGTTAGCAGTGTGGGGCCATCCCTCCTTGAAGCCTGCTGTCAGCATGCGCCCTGCTGAGCGAGGACTCAGCTCCCACCAGGCCCCCGGAGGGACTCGGGAAGGAGCCATGGGCAAGTTCACTCTGTCCTTGCCCCCTCAAGGTCACTTCCGTGGCTTTCCCCGAACTTTGGTCCTCTCCTCACCCTCTGCCCCAAAGCAGTGGGCAGGCATGTTTCTAGGGGACCCATCGCCAGGCATTTCCAAGTAATGACTTCTCAGGAAGTCTGGAACCTGATCACATTCCCTCTCCTTCATCCTTTTCCCCAGTCACCCCATCCCAACCCTTGACCCTGAGGACCTGTTTCCTGCCATCATCCTCAGACATCTAGCTACTTTCCTGATCACTCCACAAAAAAAGCTCCCTTCCCTTGAAGCTCGGAGCTCTCCGACATGGCATGTGCATTCTCAGTCATGTGCATGTTCAGTCACGAGCGCTCCGTCGAGTCCAGCGCTTCGAAACCCCAGGGGCTGTAGCCCACCAGGCTCCTCTGTCCGTGGAATTCTCCAGGGAAGAAATACTGGAGTGGGTTGCCGTTTCCTTCTCTGGGGGATCTTCCTGACTCGGGGATGGAATGTGCATCTCTTGCATCTTCTGCATTGGCAGGCAGATTCTTTACCACTTGTACCACCTGGGAAGCCCTGAGCTCCCTTAAAAAGACATATTTAGGTGGGGCTTTCTTGAGACCATGTTCCTAGGCTCCGAGAGATCATGTGCCCTCAGTGACACAAGTTTTTGAAGTGGCCCCATAACCCCATAAACCTCTAAAAAACTTTGAAGTTGTCTGCTTCCATCCTACACATTTAGAACCCACCCCACCCCACATCCATCTCTCTCTATTCACAATCTCTGTATAGGAATAGGTCCTCCCAACTGAGGCCTCTTAGGGGTAAGACTGGGTCTTATTTTTGTAAACTCCCAGTTTCCACTGCATCAAGCACACCATAGACATGTAGTACCTGTCTACACCAAAAGCAGCAGCACTGCATTTGTCTAATAAACATGCAGCGGTGGTCAACAGCATGGTTTTCGGGCTGAACAGACCAGTGTTTGAGTTGCTTCTGGTGATTATCGGTTATATGACCTTAAGCAAATGTTTTCATCTGGAAAGGAAAAAAAAAAAAAAACCCGAGTACCTATTGAACTCTAAGTTGTTAGATAATTTAGGTAAACTTCTTCGCAAGGTGCAAGTCATATAGACAAATGGTGGTTGCACCACTGTGTGTTTGGTGCTGGAAATCTATGCAGAAACTAGTAAGACAGTCAGGAGAAGAGCCTGTCAAAAACAGGCACTCCAATGCATGTGAATCAACCGGTGCAGCAAAGCAGACACAGTGACATGAGCACTGCGGCAGGCCAGCAGCAGGTCAGACCTGCTCTTCCTAATGGCTGACACTGAGCGGGGCTGATCTGACCCCACACAGAGCTGGACACTGAGAGGAGAAACCCCACCTGCTGAGGGTGCCTAACCCTAAATGGAGGCGGGGGGGGGGGGGGGAGGTCACAGCCAGGGGTAGTAGCGAAGCTTGAACCCAGCCTTCACCCATCCCAGCCCCCGGTGGTGTGGAACTGCCAACCCCCTCCATCCCCACAGCTCCCCAGAACAAAGGAACACCTCCAGCCACCAACTCTAAAACCAGATCTTTATTCTCTAGTTGGAAAAGGAGGGTTAGTGGTTGTGTTTAGTTCCAGAGAACAAACAAGGCCCAACAGTAGAAATTACAGGGAAGCGGACTTCATTATAAGGAAGAATTTCTAACAATTAGAATTATCCTACAATAGAACCAGGGCCTTAGGAGATTCCCTGTCACCTAAATGTTCAAGCAGAGGTTGGGGATCCACACGCTAGAATGTTGGAAGGGAAACTCACCCCCACTTCCCATCAGCTGGCCTTCCGTTATCAATGGGGCAGTCCTTCCCACAATGTGCTGAGCTCTGAAGGGAGTGAAGGCGGGCTGGGGTGTTTGGACAAAAGCCCTGACACAGGGCGGCTGACAGCCATGGGATTGCTCTAAGTGCTGGGAGGGTGGTTGGATGAAGGCAGTCGCAGCGTGGGAAGATGCTCTGGGGGGGTGGTTGGGTGGGGACCGATCTTTCGGGGGAGGAAGAGGAGCCACGGCACTAACAGTAGACGGGTCTCTCCAAATCTGGATGCCTGTGCAGGGGCGGGAGCGAGGGGCTGACTGGGAGAGGCTGGAGGAGCTCGGCCTTGCCTCCCAGGGCTGGAAAAGGCCCGGGTGCTGCCCAACAAGGCCGGCAGGTTCTCCGGGTGTGTCCAGCTGCTCCACTGATCCTCCCCGGCATTCATTCACTAAGGGCTGAACCACACCTACTTGCAAAAAAAAGAAAAAAAAAAACGAGCCAAAGGAACTCATAATAGACGGGACGTTAAGGCGTTAACACCAGAGGAGAGGGGTCCTCCTGTCCACTGGTGGCCCCTCCGGCCGGAGGGCTCTAAGGGGTGGGTGGAGCTGCTATTGCTACTTTTCCAGGGCACAGGATAGTCTGGACCGAACCTTAGCAAACACCAGCGGGAGGCCGGGGTCCCTGCTCTGCAAGTGGACTCCCTGATTACAGCGGGGGACCTCCCTCCCTAACGGGGCCGGCTCACCCCACCTCGCCACCCCCCTCGCCGACAGCAGCAGCAGAGGGCACAGTGTGAACGACGCCCGGCCCGCCCTCCCTCGGCCTCCGCCGCCC